CTGTAGCCCTGTCCTTTATCGAAAGGGAGGGCCCGGGAGGGGAATGGGGCCTGATGGGTGTATACGACATCGAGGAGCCAGGCCAGACAGTCAGCCAGGTTAACAAAAAAACATGCAGGGCACAGGTCGCAGTAAAACTCCACCTCCTCAGGAAAATCAGGATAGTAGCAGAAGAGTGCGAACCCGCCACGCCTATCCAAGATCTTGAGCTAGACACCGTAGCGTGGGCGCAGAAGCTGACAAGTTGTGACAACCACGGGGCCGAGGGTGGAACGAAGGATCAACGTTCTGAACTATTCCACAAGACTGGACTACGGGCTAAGACGAAGGTCGGCAAACATCCACGACACATTGGCCCGGTGGACGGAGAAACGCATGCCCGGGGGACTCGGGGTTCTATCAGCAATACCTTGGAAAGCCGTGCTGGCAATCGGGTAACAGCAAGATCAGAAACATGCAATGCCTCATAACATACCAGGCCCTTCGCGGTTAACAAGTGGCTAAGAAGGCGATGGGCGCGGATTAATGGGCTTGCTTCCGACGACGACTGGACGATCTGCTATAGAGGGGCAGTGGAGGACATTGCCCATGACCTGCTGCAGTGCCCGAAGGCCCAACTGCTTTGGTGCAAAACCAGAGAAGTATGGAATGCCGTCGCCAGCAAGGGGCTAACCGAGAATGCCCTAACCCTTCTCACCGGCTTCGTGGAACCCACGGGGTTGGTGTCACTCGGTGATATGGGAGTCGAAACAGTACAGGAGATTACGGCCATTGGCGCTATGGTCATTCTGGAAAAGGAGGTGCAAGGGGACGCTAGTTGCATAAGAAACCCCTCTAGAGGAAGCCTGGGATGGCCCCAGGCAGGCATTACTTATAGAGTACCACACGGAGTGACACAGGACCAGGAAACGAATCAAATTGGTGCCAGCAAAGAGACAGGACATCGTTAACAAGTTTATAAAAGACAATCTAGGAAGTGGGAGGCTGGGTACTCTAGAGGGCGAGATGCTTAAGTTGGACTAGAGGCTTAGAGCGGGCACGGGAGGGAGCATGACCCGGCGGGAGAGTGCAGCGAGCCATCGATCTCAGGAGTGAGTATAGCATTGGACTGACTATCTCGGACCGCTGGAGGGGGGTCCTGATGGCCAGGCTGCTGTCCGGCTCAGCCGTGAGCCGTCCGGCTGCAATAAAGCGATCTACTGACTGCCCGGACAGTTAAACTCCCGGGGTACCTAGGGCGGTCAGCACTGTGTAGTATTGGGCCTGTGACCATGGACGGGAGCGCCCAGAGGGTTTAGGGTCTTAGCAGGTAATCAGCCTTGAGCACACCAACAGGAACGACTCCAAGCGGATTTAGAGGGAAACGGCAGTCGTAGACGAGGTAGAAATGCAAAGCAGACGGATGGGACAGGGTATAACTTAAAGAATCTTGTAGCAATAGGCTGACTTAGGCAGGGGTGAGGGGAGGTACATTCTTCCACATCGGGAGTAATCAATGCCGCCCACTCGGGTCTCTTTACCGTAAAGGGGAGAAGCGTTGGAGTGTGTTGTATGCTTTGTTCTGACTTGCCGGTCGACTACGAACCGGACTGACGCTCCCCAGAATGGCTATGAGCCAGGGCCATAAGGCCCTGCTTTTTGTTAAAAAAAAAAAAAAAAAAAAAAAAAGGTCACGAGCATGACAAGCCTCACTGCCTCTGAAAAATATTATTTATTCACAGACTTTCATGGTGTTTTTCCTCCCTCGATTCTTTTGAAAATTTTCCCTTTTTCTTCTGGAACCAGGCAATGTCACTGGAGATTGCCCGTAAAGCCTTCATTCGGGTTCGGGATGTGCGGCACATAGAGCTGCTTAACAGGATTGAGAAGGCAAGGAAAAATGGCGGGGATGAGAGCCTCTTCCTGGCAGAGATTCTGGCTTATCAGGTGAGGTCATCGTCGATCACAGGAACACAAACAATTGCAAATCAATGATCTCCTTTTCTATTATTATAATCTTCTCTCTCTCTGCCAACGATTTACCGGGCAGTTCTGTTTGTGACGATATATATGTACTAGCAGGCTCTGTCTTTTCTTATGGAAGAGAATATGTTTTAATCTGTTGTATTTTTTCTTCTTCTTCCTCCTTCTTCTGTTTAATCTTCCCTATTGTTGGGATGTTGCGTTTTGCGGACCTACTGAATGGTTCCGTCTTTTTACTATGGATATGGTAGAAGGTTTGTTTTGTGAATGAGAATCTTGTTTGCTTCAATTCCGGTTGGCCTTGTCCCGTTATCTGGTCTATCTTAGGG